ATATTATTAATATCTGCTATCAATACAAACTAACTTATAACAATATTTCTAAATACTATATTTAACAATAATTTATTAAATCAATATCTGAAATAAAAAGAATACTTAAAGTATTATAAAAGCTGCCTTTAAAGTTATATAGAAATAACTAGAAATCTTTTAAAATAATTTAAACTAAATTTCAAATAGAAATTCAATAAGATTATAATTGATTACAATTCTTATAATTATAATAATAAAACTAATAATTGTTTTTAAATACAAAACTTTATATTATAATAAAATCCTATTTTTTATATAAATCTTTATTTTTTATAAAACTCAAGATTCTGTTTTATTTGAAGCCCTTCTAAATCCTAGACTCCAAAGCTTCTAGCTCCTTGAATCCTAAGCTTCAAAGGCTTTATCATATAACACTTGCTACATAATACATTGTTATTCGCTGTAATATATAAAACAGATCTATTCAAGTATAAGTAATCTAATACTACATCTTATTACGAATATATATACACATGATATATATCTAAGATGAAAGTTAAAAAGAATACAAATACAGATTCCTCTCCTAGTTCAACTCTTCTCTCTTCGTAATTTACAACATTAATTAAAACTATTCGTGTAAGAGTCGATCTGTAAGATGAACAACTAGTATTATAATTGTGTGAACGAAAGGTGAATGAATGGCCTTAAGTCATTCATAGCCTACTACAAAGGAGCTAGTCCTAGTAAGGCCTATTGAAGGATGACTTCTTTCTGTAATTAGCTAGCTCCGTAGACAGAATACACATTGGCAACTAGAACCTACATCGTGGGTCCTACGTCATACGTACTCACTCTCAAACCAACAATAATAGAAGTATATTTGAGTTCAAAGCTTTTCATTAATTCTTTTAAAACCTCTTTTGCTAAAGCTATACATATATGAAAGCTCTTCAATGTCGGAATAATGATCAGCCCGATGCCAATCCGATCGATGCCCGTGACAATTCGATCCCTATGGTTTCCCTCACTCCATGATATACATAAGTATCATTACATCAAGCGCCTAAAATATCTGCGTTTATTACATCCTACAAATTACTCTGAACCCTTTCGATTCTATACAACATTCCATACTAAAAAAATTGGATCTCAAGTTTTTATCCCCTCTCTCTCAAAAAATCACAAATCCGATGATTCTATTATATCAAACTATTCTAGAATCTATCTTCCTACTATAAACCCTATTCTCTTATTATAACACCTAGTCTTTTAATACAGAAAAGGCTTTTTATACATATAGTTTTTAATTAGTATTATTTTATTCGAGTACTCAATTCGATCTTATTCTCCTTTCTTATATGAATAGCTTGATTTATTACATAGGTGTATTCTATATCTGAGGCTCTATATTAAACTTTTACATCTCCCCTCCCTTCTTCTCTCCTCCCTCCACCTCTCTAACGCTAAAATCCAAAATCCAAACCAAACTAAACCAAACAATCACTTCATTTTCATCATCTTCCATCAAAAAATTCTTCCTCAAAAACACATGCGTATACATATACACCTATCTCAATCTACCAATCTAATAATCAACTATCTTCTCCCTCTCCCTCTCTCTCTCCCTATCTACTTCTCAATCAACCATCAACCATCAAGCCATCTCCATTACCAAAAAACACATCTTAATTTTTAAAGATTTTTAATTATCAATTACTCGACTATTTATCTATTTATCTATTTATCTACCCATCTACCCACCTACCAATTTCCCTCCCCTTCATCCATCCCTCATCCATCCCTCATCCATCCCTCATCCATCCCTCATCCATCCCTCATCCATTCCTCATCCATCCCTCATCCATCCCTCATCCATCCATTCATTCATCTTACAAACCAACCAACCCATCAGCAAATACCTTCTAGATCCAATACCCAAACTCAACACTCACCTCCCCCCCCCTAATCCCCACATCGTAAACCCTTCACCAACTCAATTCCAATTCCAGTTCCAATTCCAACCCCTATCATCCTCGCTAATCGATCATCACATCACATCACATCACATTGCGTCAAATTGATCAACATCTCCCCATCCTCGTTAAGCTATTCATTTCCTATTTATACTTCTCATCTTCTTCTTCTCCTTCTCCATCTCCACATCTAATCATTCAAATTTTAGTCTTCACATTCATTCAACTCACTCACTCAATCAATCACAAAACAATATTCAATAAATATCCTCAAAAGATCTTTCTTATTTATCTTCTCTTATCTCATCGCATGTATTCTACTCTAACCCTAACATCTACAATCCCTCTTTCAATTCTCTCGCAGAATTTCATATTGGCATCCATTGCAATCATTCTCCATTCTATCATTCCCCTTCAGGTTTCTTTTCCTTTCCTATCTTCCCCCCTCTACACCTCCATCTTCCCCTCTCTCTTCCCCCACTTCCCTTCTCACCTCATCTTAGAAAAAAAATAATGACAAATTCAAACTCCTAAACACCCATCTATCGCAATAAAGAATCTCATCGAACAAAAAACGCCTGCACTTTTGTGGGATATGTACATGCATGCGTGAAAAAAAGTGGTATTCATATTATACAATCGGCATTGAAAAATATGACAAGAAGCGATGAAAAGAATGACGTAAACATTAAATATTGAATTGTGTATGTGTGTGTATACACTGAAAACTCGAGGTCGAATATGAACTGTAATTGATTTTTAATTCGGAAGAAAAGTAAGATCCTCGAGGTGAAATATCGAATTTGCCGATATGAGCTTCGAAATGCTAACAAGCGTCGAAAATCGACGTCGAAAAAGACGTCAAACTTCAATATAGGAAAGAAGTATTAACCCCAAATTGAGCTAAACGTATTTTTGAATTTTCGATATGTTTTTGATTTATGCAGCACCGGTTGCTGGGTAATACCAAGCACATACTGCAATAATTCTACTGAATGTTAGTAAAAAGCTCTCATCAAGGGAATGAATTCAAACTTACATGTAAAGACATTGTAAAAGCATTCCTTCCAACCAATGACTTTTACCATCACCAATCAAATAATTGACGAGTAAAATAGACACAAATAAAACAGCAACTTGGAAACCATCGAAACTCAAGTTCATAGCATCATTGCCCATGATCCATCCGATAACAACCAGTAAAGGAATGAGGAATAAAGCAACTTGCATACTAGATCCAACCGCTACACCAATCGCAAGATCCATTTTATCCTTGCAAGCAACTGTTACGGCAGTAGCATGCTCTGCAGCATTTCCAACAATAGGCAAAAGAATGAGACCAACAAATTCTTCCGAGATAGCACCACCTTCAGTAATTGCGCTGATACTATCCACCATGAATTCTGCACAAAGTCCAATGATAGCAGTACAAATTGCAAGGGTAGCCCAAGCAACCAAGATGTGCAATTGTGCTTCTTCACCTTCTTCCTCTTCATCTTCCTCGTGTGCGTTTGGGTTGATAAGTTCATCGTTAGGTGGTCTCTCGGCAATATTTGCTCGGCCAGGTCCTGCTCCAATTCCTCCCGCCTTTGCCAAACCCTTTGCAATTGCACCTTGTGGTAAAGCATGCTTGCGTGGTCTCATGGGTACCTTTTGACTTTCCTCATTGAACATGGTAGAATGAGTATGTAATTGAAAGTAAAGATAACCGATGTATACCACCAAGAGAATGACTGAAGTACCACGTGAAATAGCTGCAATTGGAGCATCGGTCGTTTCACTCCATAAATCGAAGGCGGTTGGAACAATGACACTAGCAATAGCCAAGGCCAATAAACTTGCAGCGGTTTGAGCAACGGTTTGGTTAAAGAATTGCTCTTCTCTTCGAAGTCCTCCAAAGAAAAAACACATTCCCATGACGAGTAATAAATTGGATAAAATACTACCAACCAAAGAAGTTTGAACGATGAGAACTTCTCCTTTGGCCAAGGCAATAATAGCGACAATCATCTCGACGGCATTTCTAATGCAAGTTAGCAAAGACCATAAAGACCATAAAGACCATAAATCGCCATTCATGATACATACCCAAAAGAAGCATTTAATAAACCTCCTAAACTTTCGCCAACATGAAGAGCAATTTCTTCCGTAGCAAAACCTAACATAGCTGCCAGTGGTATGATGGCAATGAAATTGACCACGAAAATAACAATTCCATTTACCCCACCAACATAATTGAGTATGATACCGATTGGTGCAGCGATAAGTAAGATGTTGATCCAGGAATTGAAGATGGTATTTTGCAATTGACTCCTGAGAGTGAAAGGCTCGTGTTTTATATCCTTTCCTCGAAAGATTCCACCTTTCTTCTTCTTCTCTTCACCATCGACTTCTTCCCTGCCCTTCTTGGTGAATCTGCTGAGGAATCTGCGTCGAGCTTTTTCCTCTACACTCGGTTGCCTCGACGATTGTCTTCCAACAATTGTTGCTTCCGTACTTGGATCGCTAGGGCGTCCACCATTATTTGTGGCCGACTTTTCTAAATCTTGCATCTCCATGGCTGTGCCTGCATTCTGTGAATTAAAAAATGGCGCTTGACTCGCTGATGATCGTGGTCCATTCTCGGTATTGATCGTTCTCAATTCAGGTTCTTCTAATCCTCTTAAAGCTTCTTCATCGGGAACTTGAGCGGGAAATGTGCTGCTTCGTCGAGTGGTTTTCGAAAAAGGATTCCATTCTGTTCCTGGCCCATGCCATGCTTCTTGTCGCGCCGCTCGTTTTGTTGTGTCTAAATTGAACATGATGGTAAGTATGAACCCATCAACAATTGGGCAGGAAGATCAAAATAAATAAATATAAAATGTTGACAAGGGCATTGACATGATAATCATTTGCAAAAGATGTTAGTGAGAACAGGAATTAACTAACAAAGGTTATAATCGTTTGGAGCCATGTTTTGTATTATCAAGTTGACAAACAATGTATGGGGGGGGATTGATGATTCGAAACTTGATCTTTGAAGGTGGATCTTGAGACTAAATAATGGTCGTGGTCGTTGACGAGGTTGTGGTCGTATAATAAAATAAGGACTAGGTAGATAGGTAGGGCGGACAAGGCACAGTCAGGCTTTATTCCTGCAGACCTTGTGCTGATGGTGGTGCTGATGGTGATGGTGGTTGCTTCAATGATTGCGAAACGGTGGATGACTTTGAAGAATATAGAGTTGAATTGAGAAGTGACACCCTTTTTTTTTTCTCAGAGTGAGCTGATCGTTTTCCCGAGACCAAAGTGATTTCGTTGATTGGAATTAAATGGTTCAGATCTAAGTTCCCATGCGTCGTCCGTGTGCTTAGTAGATAGTAGTTGGTGATTTGTTGATTTTTTCCTTGGTAGTAATTGTGGTAATAAGATTAAATTGTATCGAGTCCTAGCATCCAGGTATTCTTGACAAGGGGGTGTTTAATAAGAGATCCTTTGTGAGAATAGTCCACAGGACACAGGACAAGTACAGTACTTCGTAGTTATGTACTTCTCGGATAGAAGATTAACTTTTATGTCTTCACAAGAGGCGAATTGAAGTAATCGCCGTTTAGGAAGTGATTCCTGTTGATTCCTTTCTCGACCTTTTTTGGACCGGCAAATTTCAAGAGGTGGCTTAGATGTCGACGTTGCGATTTGGATTTGATGATCTTTTTTATCTACGAGGTAATTCCCAGGATAATTTGCCCCAGAGATTTTGGCTGTGGAAGTGCGAGTGTGGCTGGTGATGAATGGTTCCCCTCGTAGGTCGATATGCTAGAAGAAAGACCTGTGGCCAGAAGGCTAGAAGAGGCTGAGGTCTGATGTCAAAACACAGGTGGGTGTGGTGTTGAGAATATTATGTTGGGAAGAGAGAGATGGAAGGAAGAGATGGAAAGACAAGTGACAAGTGAGTGAAGTGAGTGAGGGTTAAGATGTAAATTGTCAAGAGGATCCTTAATGTCTTGGCAAATTTCCTGCAGTTCTTTCGGTGCAGAGGATAATTATCTCCTGGGTGAGTAGTTCACCCGTTCACCCGTTCACCAACTTTCTTTGGTTCTGTGACGATTGCCTCATTAATGCTCAGATGCTGTATGCTGTATGCTGTATGCTGTATGCTGGATGATGTTATCACGAACGACGGGAAGTGAGGTTTGACGATGACGACGATGATGATGATGCTTAAAGGATCATAGGTAGAGAGGTAGTTTGCGCAGACTCGAACTTAATTCGTGGCGCCAATGCGATGTGAGGATATTATGACTGTCTAAATAACATTACCGTGTATATATTATATATCTACAAATACTTTACACTTGATGACAATCATATAAAATGTTACTATTCACAGACGATACTTTCTTCCACGATACATCAATACATCAAGACATCAACACATCAACACATCAACGACACATGCAATTCTCCATCCTATATCCCACATCCCAACCCATATCCCATTCTCAAATCTCTTCAACATTCAAGCATTTACCCCTAAAACCAAGGCATCGTCGAAAAGAAAATCAAGATTTCTTATTTCCTCCCCAATCACCACACACCACTCAAATCTTGATCTTCTCATCTTGGCGCATTTCACCAACGAAGCCAATAATCTTGATTTTAATCAAGCTTCTATCAATGAAATATTGGCATACATTAGCTTTGGATATCGATAACGACACTTGATTGCGGTTGATATTTGTACGACCCTTCATCCTCTGCTGTTTTACATCGTACTACATTGCATTCTCTACTGTGACGAATACAGAGGAAAAACACCTCAATCAATCGACAATCAACACATCCAAAATACCAAACCAAATGTCAATCAACAATGCGATCTCAATTAACACAATCAACAATACATTCTCAATCACCAACACAATCTCAATCAATCACAAACAAGCGCCCTATTATGTGATGACGACGACATTATAATTACCCCTTAAGCCAACCCCCCACATACACGAACGATTCTCCCGGGGTTGCACATCGGTCGCTTCACACTCGTCCTCCATATTATTTGCTCTGTGCAGTGTGCAGTGTGCATACATATTTCCTGAATTGGGATCTGGATCGGGGGTCACCAGCATTTGTGTAGCGGCTAACCTCCCTCATTAATCAATGTCGACTCAATAGTACGGATAGTAAGTATAACACACGGCATCATGAATCATCATCGATAGCATATCAAGTTTCAACACACACATGCACACACACATGCACTCACACTCAAATCTCAAACCCTCTGAATCATTGATCAAAACCAAATGCATCCATCGCACAAAGCATCCAGTAGTTTCTTCATTCAATGCGGGGACCGAACTGGGACGGGGATGCACAAATCCATTCCATCGTATCGAAACATCCGTCCCGTGCTGTGGTTTAATAAAGTTTCCACCTAGCCCTTCCACCGACTTGTCTATAGGCTATCATTGACAAAAAATTTCAACATAGCCACACAATCTTTGCTGAAAATCCATTTCCTCCGTCCACTTTTGCCCACATCACACATTACACATCTTACACATCACCACATTGCCATTCAGTATCACCACCCCAGTCAATTCATCTCCATCAATATCAAATCATTACACCCTCACGTGATATAACACACACACACACACACACACAACACAACTACCGGGAACTACCGAACACTTTAAAAATCGTGACTCGTCGCAAAGACTGCGATCGAATCATACGCACCAGAGAGATGAAACATCATTCCATACTACCGATAAGTTTTGTCTTGGGATGCCGATCGCTTCTGTACTGAGAAGTGGTCGGTACCTACGAATTGTGAAGAAGAAATGGGGGCCAGGAACAAGATCATAATATTCATGTGATGTGGCTGTGGCTGTGGCTGTGATATTGCGGGTCTATCTGTGGCGGACGAATGATGAATGATGAATGATGAATAACGAGTGGCTCACCACAGGATCGGTCCCGTGAAATAAAATCGGTGAACGGCAAAACGATGGATGAACTGAAGCCAGAGCACAGAGCACAGCGTATCTCGCACCTCGCATCCATCGCACCACGGATACACTAAACACACCACAAATAAAGTATCCCGCAAGTAACGGTGAGTACCTAGGTAGGCATGATAAGCCTTCCTGCGGGGTGACTTACGAACCCAAATTCAAATCCATGATGAGCTGTACATCGCATCGGTGACTCTCGCTTCCGTTTCGCCGTACTCCATCCGTCTAGGTATCTCCACGGACGGTAAGCAGCGTACCGCGAGCTGGGAATCTGACGTGTCAGACCAACACGCTCGTTTCTCTTTCGAGTATGCTTCGCGATGCGATGACACCGAATCTGTTTTCTGTCTCTTCGTTTCGTTTCGTTTCGTTTCGTTTGGTCATCATATGAATAATCATCGTCGTAATCTTCAGGTCTAGAGTTATTCCATTTTTCAGTCAGCATGTGGAAAATCTCAAATCGTTCGTAGGGAGATCCGCAGCGCTCGTGGCGTGGTAAGGCGGATCGAATGCAGACGTGCGTTAGATGACCCGTATCCAGTACCTTGGGCCGTAAGGCTGTGGATGCGGCTCGGTTGGAATTGGGGTTGGGATTGGGGTTGCCTCGTCTTATCTTTTATTATGTCTATTTTTGATCGAGGTCTTTTGTGAGGCTTTGTTAGGCGTTGGATTGTTTGGTTTGGGCGTTTCGCATGGTTGGTGGGTTGGTGGGTGTGTGTTGGAAGGGGGAGGGAGTTTCAGGCAGCATGGTGAAGAAATCCTAACATTGGGTTACCTACCTACGATATTGAGTTGGGCGAAGATGAAATGCGTGGCCAGATTTGAAATGGGTAAGTGGTTTGTGGGGTTTGGGGTTTGGGGTTTGGGCTTCAGAGAGGATTTTTTTCGCATGGTAGATTTGATCAATTGAAAGATCTCTGATTTCTAGTAATGGAAATCTCGAGCAGAGTTCCTAGTAGACTTGAAGTAGTTGATTGCTTTTGAGAATTAATTTTTACCCTTGTTGAAGTAACGACGAGTTTGTAGACCTTCTGGCGCGTTGATTTCATTCGTACTATTCATTCATAAATACACTTATCGCCATGTTTCTGCTCTATCCTTTCAGAAATTCCATAGCAACCACGTGGATGATCACATCTGACTTTTCTTGCCGTATTCACTCAACAGGTTCATCAATCACGTCGCTATGAAGATGCTTCTCTTTCAGAGAAGCCAACCATATCCTCCATTCGGTATGCGACAAGTCAAGTTGGATTTGATTTCGTACAGAGTCTGTGTTTGGAATGTATATGCCCAAAGATGTCTCTTTTACAGTACACCGTCTGCAGATTCTCATGGATGATTGTGAATGGGACAAAGAGGAGTACAAGTGTAATGATCCGAATGTGTGCATTTATTGCATTTTTCGGTAATGGTGTATAAAGACGAGAACATATCCAAAGGATGTTTCTACATTTTTTATACTCCAATCATGTAATTGCTTGTAAAGCAAGTAAGTAGAATATCAAGATTTCAAATAGCTCACGTCAGTATAGTAGAGATACTGAGCGTAATTACAAAAGGCTTGATATCTACTCTTGAATGTAGTATACTACCTTGTTCTCCGTCCTAGCTCGTATCACGCTACTAGTGATATCGTTTCTCGGTGGTTTGCGTGAGTAGCTATGGATAATTGTACACATAAGAGACGATGGCACTTCAGGATTACCGAATTAGAAATATTGAACTTGCTGGTATATCTCACACGTTTTGATTAACATGATATTACCGATGAACCTTCGACTACAATTCAGTTTAAAACTCCTCAATGCTCTTGTAAATTAATAAATGAATTGATTGACGGCTCCGCCTTTTTGATCATGGCTCGTTTGAACTTCGCCCATTCATATTCTGAAGGGAAGGAACTTGTATGTATCATTCTTTAATTTGATATTGTTCTACGACATGAGCCCCTTTTCAATGTCTGTGGTATCACCAGCCTAAACCCATGAACACTGTCGTACCACGAGCCACCAGACACAAGATCGGATCGGATGAAATAGAAAACATGTTTTAATTCTCGAGTCTTCGTGATATCATTGTAGTTTGATTAAACCAGAAATTTCTATTTTTGCATCGAATAGAAGTGTTCCGTTTCCCAAATAATATTGGTGATGAATGAGTACATATACTTGCTTAAGTTTCTACGAGAAGTGCTCAAGTACTTCATGATACCACCTAAGTACATGATTCTTGTACACCAAAGACCGGTATTGCATGGCAATCTCTGGATATCTGCAAGTGCGGCTTGGGGATATTCACTGAATCTTAAAAAGTAGGCACAACATAGCCTTTTCTATATATAGGTGTCCAATTTCAATCATATAAATCTCAACAAAATCGATAGGTCTTTATACTGTCGTCTCAAGTCACCACTCTTCGTCTAATGTTCATAACAGCCACCGAAAAATCTGATTGAGAAGGCTGTGGTATGGACTTCAACAAGACTGCGGTATCAACCTCAGGGCTTAGTATAGGGACCCTACGAGCTTCCAGTGCTTTTGAAAGGTTATATAGTTTCCTCGTCCCGTTGCCAAAAGAGATTCTAATCTGCGGTAAACACAACATACACAGCATACACAATACTACTGAGAAATCCCTTTCTACACATTTTTACTACAATTCCAAGACAAACGCCAAGTTCTCTAGGCTTTATCAAAATCTCTTCATCATGATGAAGTTCATTCTTCTCTTTCTCTTTGTTGCCACCATCTTGGCTCAATGTCCCGAACAATCCGAAGCAGGTCGAAGACTTTATCGCTGCGTCAACACAACCAGTGGTCAAGTTGCTGGCCATCCATCTCCCAAGAAACCAGCCGTTTATGAATATCTCGGTATCCCATTCGCACAACCTCCCATTGGCGATTTAAGATTTGCTCCTCCACAACCATTCATTGGAAATGAATCTCTTAATGGTACGGATTTTGTAAGTTTATCAATTTCTAATGTATCTTTCAGCAATCAATCTAATAATCGATAGGGTTATACTTGTCCAAAGCTTTTCTCAGATGAACTTTCACTCATCCCATCAAACTTCCCAGATGTAGTCGATAATTACACAGCTTCTGGTATCAGTATCCTAGATACCTTTACTCAAGCAGGTGATGGACCTAGAAACAATGAAGATTGCTTAACACTCAATGTTTGGGTTCCCAAACCAGCTCAAGCACCAGATGTCGGAACCAAAAAAGCAGTCATGATTTGGATTTACGGTGGTGCTTTCAGAGATGGTGCTACTGCATCGCATATCTATGATGGTTCAACTCTTGTGGATCAAGAAGATGTAATTATGGTTAGCATCAAGTAAGTGTATCTTTCCATTGCGATTAAGTTAATCGTCTAACTAACAATTCATAGTTACCGCGTGAACATCTTTGGTTTCTCCGGCGATTCAACAGGTCCAACTAGCAATTATGGAATGCTCGATCAAAGACTAGCTATCGAATGGGTTTATAACAACATCGCCAATTTTGGTGGTGATCCATCTCGTATCACTCTCTTTGGTCAATCAGCAGGAAGTTGTTCTATCGACTATTATTCCTACGCTTACCCACAAGATCCCATCGTCTCCGCCATGATCATGCAATCCGGTACCATCCCCGCTCTTCCCACTCTCACCTCTTCCGACGCCTTCTCCTCCTGGCAAAACACTTCCTCGTCCCTCGGCTGCGGTGATGCCTCAGTCGACCCCAATTCCGTCATGCAATGCATGCGCAACCCCAATCTCACCACATCCGACATCCTCCAAATCGCGCATCTCTACACCTTTCTCCCCTCCATCGACGAAACCCTCGTCTTCTCCGACTACCCCGCTCGCGCCGCCGCAGGAAATATCACCACCCTCCCCCTCCTCATCGGCAACACCGATAACGAAGCCGCCGTCTTCGCCGCCCAATCCCTCATGTCCGGTAACCCAGTCGATATCCCCCAAATGACCAACTCCACCTTTGCTTGTCCCACTGCCGCGCGCGCAAATCTTAGTGCTGCCTCTGGTGCCAAAACATGGAGATATCGCTATTTCGGGGACTTTCCCAATTTGCAAATCCAGAAGGGGGTAGATGCGGGAGCTTTCCACATCAGTGATGTGTATAGCGTTTTCGGCACGTGGCCCACCGGAACAGGCATCACGGGCGCGGGAAAAGAACAAGTTTCGTTGGGAAGATACATGAGAGGTGCTTGGGCGGCTTTTGCAAAGGATGGTGAGCAGGGGTTGAGTGCTTATGGATGGCCGGTTTATAAGCCTGAGGAGGAGACGGTTGTTCGATTGGGTTGGAAGAATTCGGTGGTTTTGGTTTTGGATAGTGCGCAGGTTTGGGATAGTACTTGTTAGTTTGTGATGGGGATTTTTGCTGAGATGTTTGGGAGACTTAGTGGTGTCTGTTGGATGGGATTTGGACCGTGTTCGGTTTCAAATTTCATAAAAGTAGATGCAAGACTTATTTATGACAATGGGAAAGGAAAGATAGATTAAGATGGATTTAATAGAGATCACATGTTTTTCATTTGCTGCCTTTTCTTATTTTATCTTTTCATGAGATGGCGATGAACATACCTAAGACACAAGATAATCTCATTTTACAGACTTGCATATTTTGATATGATTTTCATTATGTTTTGTGTTCTCTAGCCTCAGATGATGATTGTAGTAAAGTCTAGTAAGCGTCTTGTACCTACGCGTATAATTAATTTCATACACTGCGTAGTTATGAATTCTACTTCTATTCATTTGGGGAAAGAAATTGTAATATATGTCCAGGTAAGATGAGAATGAAGATTGATGTGCGTACATGAATAAATGGATATGTGAATGACTTTGATATTGAGAACCGAGTTTCAAGAGAAGTTGGACGAGATAGATGAGGAGAAGATTCTTGTTGATGGTGAGTATTTCAAAAGTCTGCGAGAATCATGGTGTCGTGCTTTTGGCAAGATCTTTTGTGTGTGGGAATGAGTGATGGCAGCATTATCAATATTCGGTACTGATAGAAACTCGACTCGGGTAAATTTCCGGTGGTTTTAATGTTAGATTATGCCGTTAGATCACATGCCATTTAGATTCTAGTTCCGATTTTAGATACTGGCCTTCTCCAAATACTCTCGATTCTAGCTATTATAAAATTCAATTAAAATCAAGTGGTTCATCGTAGATTATATGACAATATATACTGTATAGTCTTAGGGCCCGTTCGAATCGATTTTTTAGGCAATGTAGATCTATATTTGTTATCAATATAGGCCTAAATAAGCGTTTACCGAATGCTAATAATGTAGTCTAATAAAATTTGTTATCAATAAAATTGAAAAAAAGTGATTTGCCGAATGCTGTGTTTCGCTACAAAATCTCAACAAATATAGATTTGCAAAATCAAAAAATTTGTACAATAGTCTTACTAAATCTGTAATGAAGCTTTGATTAGTGTTTGTTAATATATTGTTATTTTAAATTTTGTAGACTTACAAATGTAAAGCTAAATCTACAAAATTTAGACTATATTATTAGTTAAATAACTTATTAGTCCTATATTGACAACGAATTAAAAAAACGATCCGAACGGGCTCTTAATGATTACATGACTTTCGTTTCTGTAACACTAGGGGGGGAGTATCCGCCGTCCGCCTCCTTAGCAAATAATAGAGGGGGTTGGAAAAAAATTGAGAAAGAAGGAGAATGATTTAGGTATAAGACGGGTCGGGTGGTAATGCAGCTTTTTGATATCGTGTCCCTACTTGCCATTTTTGAGATGAGTACACTTCTAATTTTCCATTCATATTTTCCTACAAACTCTAAAAACAAAACATAAAAAATCCATTACCCAACACTACAACTAAAACATCATCCACACCGTATAGTAAAGTCCAAATTCAGATAATCCCGAGAGTCCTCAACCTCCCTCATATTCTCTCTTCCCGCAATCAACTCTCCCGTATCTTTATGACAATCATCAAATCCAACCTGTAAACTATGAAAAATCTCCACACTCACTATCTTCGGATTCCCAAGCTGATTCTTATGCTGCGAAAGTAACCATCCAATACCTTTCCCATTCGGTGTTCCCAGAAGCGCAGCTCCATACCCTTTGGAATCATTGATGTCGACTGTCAATCCATCTGGTGGGCACATTATTTTTTCTTCTTTCAGAATCTCTTTGATTACCGAGGTTGTTTCTGAGTTGGTGATATGAGATCGGATTATGTGTTTGAGATTTTTGAGGGGGGTGGATGTTTGAGTGCATTCTTCATGCCATGAGAGATAAGTTATGTCGGACCAAGTCTGGAGAGTAGTTGTTGATATTTTTTCTAGCGGCTCGCTTGCTTTTGCCTTTGATTGTTTTATAAAGTAGGGTGACTTGGAATCGGTGGCAATGATGATTCCGTTCTGAAAGATTTATGTGTTAGTCAATTTTTAGCATCTCCAGGAGTGTGATAACTCAATTCTAGAGTTCGCCACTAAAAATGCTTCCTCCGGAATTAATACTTCAATAACCGTGACAAAGCCTTGCGTGAACTGTACTAGAAATATGCTTACCTTTGCATTCATTGCGTAGTAAAAATGACCATTCTTGTCCTATCTTCAATTAGCTTCCATGCTTCATAGCGTATTTCTAATTTGATAAAATGCATTTGAATGTAGAATAATATGAATGGAAGGTATTAACAGGTATGAATCTTGAGCTTCAGGAGAAGGGGCTTATGAATTACGTGTCCTTCACTTGCAAACCAACCCGACGACAAATCGGGCCACCAAAATTTTCAGAATAAGCTAAAATGAGAAACATATATGTTTGTAGTTTTGCGTCTTCTCAAAAGCAACACATTTCACCAAAAATAATAACGGATGACCTTACCCCAAAATTCTGACCCAACGTACTATCAGTTTTATCAAGATGCCTAGCTAGTATACCGATCCAATTCTTTTCAAAATTCGAGTTGGTAATTTTCCTTATGTGCTCTAAGATATGGAATACGGATGAAACTTCAATGTGATTTATGTAAATATGCCAAGCGTTTTCTTCTCTTGATTCTGGTCTGTCGAAAATACTTTGAGTTGGATAATTGGCTTGGGTATTATCATCATGAGAGATTTTTTGCAGCATTAGCTGACCTGCAATTTTAGCTTTCGAGAACACTTCCATACTTCTGAGATGAGTACTTTATCCGTCGGAGATTTGTGATAAATGATGAATGTAAGAAATTGTAAGAAATTGTAAGAAATTGTAAGAAATTCGGAGGGGAAATTCTAGTTTTCACAGTAGAATAAGGCTGGTTTTATAGCCGTGGACATTTAACTTTTGTTTGCTTGGATTTTTCAATTTTGTCATGAGAGCATTTCATTGACTGAGTTTAGTTAGTGTCTTGTGAGTAAATAGACAAGCACAAGTGAAAGTATCAACAGAATACTAGATACAATACGAAATGAAGCTCTTACAATAATGAATCACCAGGCTAATCCAACATCAATTTGGCTGGTTATTGTAAGGCTTAGAAGAAGTAGTCCTCTTTGGGGGTGTTAAATCCTCTAAAATGAAATGCTGTTTCGTTTCTTCTCATCGTCCGGGTGTAAAATTGTCATATACCTGTCATCTTGTAGGAAATGGATGGGCCAAGATATAGATGAATGATTCCATGAATTCTATAAGCCTGGAAATATGGAAGTGTCTATATCCTCATCCATAATGTCTGATTAAAGCGACAGAACTAGTGAATGTGAGCCAACACTGCACGACAGTAAATAATATGAATTATGGTGTCTAACATTTGCGTTGACTTCTCTTTGACTCAAGCGAAACAACGGCTTTTGCTCTTCTATTGCTTTCTCATTCATAAAACTTCACGGCGGTTACGCAATGATACCTAGATATACTCAAACTTATGGATGCTGATAATCCCATTTTTAGTAGATTTAGACAAGATGATTAGAAAGTTATATGAAGCCTCTAGTATGATCGTGACTATATGACGACTATAACTTCTAAGCTAGATCTCGAGATATGTATCATCCAGTCCCTATCTACATCAATTATAAGTTCCATGCTCAGAATCTCTACTCAGCAGGCTTCAAATAATGGAAAGTAGTGAGAACCCGCCAATGCTGAAGGAGGTGAATACATGACATCACGTATTCGAAATTGCCCTTGCCTTTTATTATCCTAGTCAAAAAAACTACCCTCTCTCTTTAAATTTGTATCGTATAATTTGTTACTAGCAGAATAGATAATTCTATGGAATGTGGCTTAAGTTTCATACACATCTTTAAATATTGTCAGTTGTCCATAGATGCGAAAAGCAAATGAAGAACTCTTAACGACTTATGATATGTACACTACTAATGTAATTCACTCATGCACCATTATTCGTTGGAATGAAAGTCAATATCTTCACCATCTCACTTCTACTTGTTCCAATTTTGATACTCTAAATAGGAAATTAGTCCCCGATATTCATCTTGAAAACCATAGCTCCGTTTCATGCCGAGCCGTGTCACGTCATTTTCATGTCAAAAATCAGTGAATAAAGCGGTTTTGAGGATATTCAAATTGTATCAAATTACTCACGCATAGTTGGAGCTGGTTCTCAGGTTCTTGGCCTACTTGAAGTTTTCTCTTCAGTTTCTTCTTCTTCTTTCTTTAAGTAATCATGTCGTGCTCTCAAATGGAGACTATGTTGGCGGATATCGATCAAGTACGTGTATTTCTTTCTTTGCGCCCATTCAATTACTTTCATTCCCATTCAACTTTCTTTCTCCTTTCAACTATTAGTATTACTTGATCATACAATTGTTGAGATTAAGTTGTAACGAGATTTAAAGTCATCCGATTGGCTCGGCTGAAGCACAGACTTGTTTACCTCATATCCCTCAGCTATCTTAGCTTCAAATAGACTCGAGTAAACAATACTGATTTGTTTGTGTAGTCTATCATTGATAATTACCATCAACGAGTTTCGGAGATGACGGAAGAAAATGAAGATCTTGGTGGTAAGTTTTAATGTCTTTAACCGTCTTTTGGTTGTTCCAGTAGCTCTTAATGGGCTATCTTCCGTTAAGCAGCACGTTCAATACACTCAAGGAAGTGACTAAAATGCCTGGCCGTATTTCCAAATACCCCTTGATTCTTCTAAGGAGGAGAATGAGCTCCCCACTTATTTTTTCATCTGGATCTAAGAGCTATCTAGTCTTTTCTATTCATCACACATCAGCATATTCAGTACCAGTTTTCTCTGTTCCTTTAATAATTTTATCTTTCAAATCTACTCTCTGGTTCTTGTCTGAGCTACCATACTCCACTTCTTGAGGAAGCAATAAGCGATGATATTGTCTTTGGATTGAGATTCGGGAACTGTCTCTGATTGTTCTGTCTGAGAGGTCTTCAAATTCTTGCATTCCTCTCCAGTCCTTCTTCCTCAACAATCAATTCCTTTTGTTCCCAAGCGAGACTATTTCTCAAAGTCTACAAAGATATCTTGGAGAATAGCCCAATGTCTTATCTCTGGAAGCATTTTAAACCCAGTTGGCCATTGAATAATAAAACAAACTATTGTATGTTTCTACCATTAAGAAGTCCAACACTTGACCTCCTCCTGATAAAATAATCTTGAGAATAACTTGAAGGATTACCCTAAAGCTATTTATTTCCTTGTTCTCCTCACGTTTTTTTGAGGATATCCACATTTCGTGTTCTCAAACCACTCTACAGTTTGCTACACTTAACTTAATTCTTGTGATCAATTTCTAAAGGATGTTATTGAACAACAGAATCTCTTCATCTCCTCGAATCTTCTTTTGAAAACAGTCTACATTTGTTGTTCTTGAGAGAGACTTCAATTCTTCCTATCTCGGCTGAACTCCAGCTACTGCATCATTTCAACATATTCATACAGTCATCCAACAATCTCTTATTCACTACTCGATAATCAACTCTGCCATCAAGTTCATTTCACCGCCTTCCCATTACTTTATATTTAACCTCGAACTTCAAAACTGACTTTTTTTCTTCTTCCAAACAAAGTTGCAGCAGATCCCACAACCTCAGAACCTTTATTCGAAACCCATGGTGAGTTAGTTCTATGACTCAATTACCCAACATCCAGACTTTCTTATCTAAATTATCGACAGCTCTCACCATGGCAAACTCTCTTTACTTAATTTGCGAACCAATGTATCTGGGCGAAGAGCGCTTTCAACGCTGGCCGTCCCCAGCCAACCACGCTGGACCTGAATACCTCACATTTTGTTTCGCAATCTTAAAAAATCGCGAGAATCAACCTCCCTTTACTATTAACTTTCCCTCAGATCTATATCGCGACATCAAGAAGTCACAAAGAGTCCGCGACAAGATGCCAGACGTCAATCTCGCAGATATGTCTGGAGATCAGTTTATGGATGATATTCCTTGGCCCGACTATCACGATATTGAGATCCCGCCAATATCTGAGGATCAACTCGAAAGTATTGGATACCATATCGATCTATTGGAATTCGAACTCCTTGGTCCGATTAAAGGTCCTACAATCAGTGATGAGGATTTCATCTTTCAAAAGCTTGATTTGAATCAAAAGAGAACAAAAGAAGAACTCTTTGAAGATATTCCTTATAATTTGTTTGAGCATAAATTCTTCGAGGCAAGATTTCAGAGTTTTGGTTCTGCTATGAGGTATTCTAAACTCTGATTTCTAAATTCAAATCCTATTACTCTTCGAAACTGACCTTTACATTTGAATAGAGCTGGAGAAGGTCCACAAATACCAAAATGGGCACATCAAGGTTTCGATATTATTGAAGAAGAAGAGGTAAGTCTTTCATCCCCATATATCTCTTTTCATCCTTCCTCTTTCCCTACCCATGAATCGCAGCAATACAAAGACTAACACCTCATCCCAGATGGCCTTATCAGACCGTCAAGAACTTCAAAAGGCCCTCCGAAGCTACGATGCTACCTACCGTGCAAATTACCTTAACCCCGATCTTGTACCGGAAAAAAAATTAGGTTCATTAAAGAAATCAGGTACTATGACGAACTGGTATCGAAAAGGTCCTATGGGACGTGGTCGAAAACCTCCTCCAAAACCTCGGCAAGATGTTGCGGAAATTTCTCAAGATCATATATGGCTTCTCCAGCAAGATAATCTAGCCATGGCCAAGGATAATGAAGATACTGAGATGGGTGGAATGAGTGTGGGTGGTGGAGGGAATGTCGTTGGTGCTGAAGTTATTGGCGGAATGAATGCTACAATCGATGCTCCTGGTCCTTCCGATTTTGATTATGAATTCGCTCAAATAAGTACCACACAAGGTGCTCCTGGTCCTTGGGGATACGAGTCTAGCTCTTTTGGTGCGCATAATGCTCCTACTTCAGGATACAACTATCATGTCAGTACCTCCAGCAATGGTGTCGGTCCTTCTGGATATAATTCTGGAGCTACTTCAAGAGTTGTCCCCGCCAATACATCAACGACTGTCGCCAATAATACACCAGACTCTTCGATATACAATTCTGGAACTGTTTTGAGCGCTGCCCCTATCAGTACACCAATGGCTTCCTCTAAGAGTGAGCCAAACCCTCCAGTATACAATTTTGGTTCCAGTGCAAGGAGCATTGTGAACACCGCACCAGGCCCTTCTGAGTATAACTCTGGGACTACCGGAAGCAACAGTTCAAGCAGCACGGTAGTTCCTTCAGGACATACTTCTGGACCTGGCATAAACAACACAACCAATACTACAGCAAGCCCTTCGGGACACAGCACCTTGTCAGTTCCGACTCCGAGAGATGTGATTAGTACAAGTAGAAGTGATGGAACAAATACCTTGAGCGACTCATCTCGTCCCATCCCAGACTACAACCAAGGATATACTAAATCTTTGGGCGAGCCTGTCAGAGATAACTATGCTAACTTTTTCCCCACACATGCCACCTCTATTACGCCTAGCATAAATCCTCACAACACCATCGAAGTCCAATCTCGAGAAGTTAGTCACCAACCCAATCTTCCCACTGCAGCCGCATCCGCACCTGCACCTGCACCTGCACTAGCACTAGCACTAGCAAGTGAAGAAATCCTTCAAACACTATCTACAAGCCAGGAGCCCGAAATGGAGAACCTCCTTCCCATCAACAAAAGGATGGCTGCAAGAGATGAAAAAGATGAAGACTGGCAGCCAGGTCAAAAACCAAAACCAAAAACCACCAGAAAAACCGCTGTATCTAAAGCTTCCACTGCCAATCCGGCCACACCCAAAACAACCGCTCGCAAAACTGCTACTCCCAGAACTAGGAAGCCAAAGACTGTTGTACCCAGTGTCGCTGGTCCCACAGCTACCAGCCTCAAAGCTGTCAGTCCCACAGTTGGAACACCCAACCTCATCAAACCAACTATCGTCGTGAGAACTAGGAATTCGAGAGCCGCTACTCCCAAAACTGTCGGACCCAAGTCTACTGCGCTCAAAGCTACTGCTCCCAGAACTGCTCCCAGAACTGCTAACACTAGAACTTCCACTCCAAAGACTGCAGCCTCTAGGACCGCAACTACCAAAACTTCCACCACAAGAGCTAGTTCCAAGCCCAACACCCCCAAGCCTTCCTCATCTACCTCAACCCCCAGTCTCAAAGCACCCGTCACCAGAAAATCTTCTCTCAAGAAGAGTATTTCGGGAGAAAGTGCCGACGGTACATGGGAGCCTGATGAGGAAGACTTATAAGCAAGGAATTTACCTCCATTCTTCTTTTCTTTCTCTCCCTTCTTAGGATTGTTTCTTTGGATCTGGTGCTTTTCTTCTAAATTTCGATGATATGATATCCTACTTTGGTTTGCGTTGGATGTGGATGGATTATTAGAAGCTTTTTGCAAGGCGGTGGATTTTTGAAAGGAAGGATGGAAGGGCTCGATATAGAGAATGAGTTAATGAGTTGATGAGGAGTTTTCGAGCTAGCACTACCCAGATACCTACTTAATGTTGTTTGTCTGCTCGGCTTTGGGTGATAACATTTTCCGAGGATAGTGTTAAGGAACACCTTTTTTCTTTATTCCTTTCTTTAGATAGATGGATATTCTCATTCCTCAGGAACTCTGTTAGAGATGAAGAGAACTAGGAAGAATCAAACTAATGCATAGATAGATCTCGCATATCAGAACCAACAATGATTTTCCAAACACGCATGGAATCATAAACACTTAAGAGATCAGTGTTTCTGCATTACTTGAATCAAGAAATGGGATGATTGACTCCTTAAGAGACTATCTCAAGATGATAATAAGGGAAAAATTAGTCTATTGCTTTCGTCTTCCCTTCTGTCTATCAATTTGTAAAGCCATCATGTGACCATCTATTCCGGTTCCCATTACCACCTAGCCCCAATTTATCACCATAATCAATTATATGATCAAAGTAACCCCTTCCGTACCGCCAATAACCACATCCCATAATAATATCGATAATAAAACGATACTCCAACACCCTCCCACCCATCCAGTCCAAATAACCCCAAATCAACAACCGTAACCATCCCACCCACCCATTACCTATCGTACACCAATCCATAATCATACATATAACCCCAATCGCCCAATCAATCTGCATCACCACCCATCCATCTCAATTCCCATACATACACCCTCTACTAGCTCTCCTCGCATGATAAACCACACTCCTTCCAATCCCACACCCATGAGATCCCGTCCTAGAATGTGATTCCGAGATATCTGAATCGTAACATCGATTTAAATTCGCATAGTGATTATCTGAAACGACGGCTGTTGATGCAATAGCTTTCTCTTTCATGAGTGATATTCTGTTCGGATAATATTAGGATTTGAAGATATCGAAAGAGATTTGAGAAGCGGGAAGGCTAACTTACTCATCCTCGGAATAACCGGGTAGGTTTACTGCTGGTCCTTCTTGGAAATTGAAGGGTGCACTCTGTGATGGTTATGTCAGAGATAGTACAATACGGAATTTTAGGATATCACTAGAAACTTACTATAGATAAAGGTTTGGGAGTTTTTGATTTTAATCCAAGGGTTTCAGCACATTTATTGCTGAATTTTAAGAGTGTAGCTTTGAGTTGTGTGCAGGACATGTTGATAAATGATTGAATTGAGATTGAGATGAAAGTATGTGCGTATATAAATATATATCTTGTGATGTCTAACGATAAGTTATTGTTATGTTGGCAATTGAATGTGTTATATTGTAGATGGAGAACGGGTATGAAAATGTAAGGCAGACGCGCTTTTCTGAAACGATGAATATGCAGGATATTGGAAGACGCGTGATTGAGGAATGACTGTAATTAATGACACAAGAGAATAAATGAAAGAGTGATTGTTGATATAGGTATGTTACCGACTATAAAAGAATTAGAAGAAGAAGAAGTGCTGAAGAGCTGTCTGCCAATGCCTCGAATAATAAGACTGGCGATGATTGAACAAGATATATGAGGAAAAAATTAAAGAGAGGAAAATGGATTTATGAATATAAATTGCCAGTTTGCTGTCAAGGGCAACGATACTATCAAATGAGAAATTACACAGAGTCAGTACTACAATGAGTACTACTTCGGGTGCATCAAAATTCCCATTCTTTGGTACGCCTCAAAGGAACGGCAATCCGGCGACGTAACGTGGCGGATTCCTTACTCCAAAAGTTGAAGGAAGTGAGAAGTTCCCTTAATTACTCCCTTATCAGATGAGGCCCTTCTGGAATGTTGATGATCAAAATGCATCGCTTCTTTTCTACCAAATCTATCAAAGGGGGGTTAACGAGCTGAATACGTTTATTGGTGTCAAAAGAACTACTAGATACCCAGTAAGTAGACAGACAGTTCAAGTCAGTAAGACCATACAATATCAATGATAGTAATAAATAAACAACATGACTAAATTGACTTGAAGTAAATTGATGAATTACATAAAATTCCCCTTCAATAATTATGATGTACAAATTCAAATCAAGGAGGCACGGAATGTCGCCCCAAGGACATGCCCGGAATAAGGGAAAAGCGTGGAAATGTGAGGGAGCACAACAGGAAGATAGGAAATAGGAAGGGTTGATCATGTGATTAACTTTTCAAAAGATTTCCCCCTTCCAATTATTTTGCAGTAAGGCTTATTACTAGGTAATCTTCACCTATTGTTCAATTGTCTTGTCCAATCAAGTGGTTCCCTTGCGTTACCTTGGAAAATGGATCAACATTAATCCAAATCTTTTAACTTGACACAAGAATTCTTCGAGATTGTATCACTAAGAAAATGTGCATATTGCTTGGCTAAAATCGATATCTGTGTACCAATGGCGTAGAAGCGCCATGGCCCATCAATGCCAGAATGACATTCGACATGTGTAGAACTTGATCATCAAATCAAAAACAATTTCAGCGCCGTGGAAAAAGATAAGGTATATTCGTCATTCGTCTATATGAATCCTTCAATCGCTTGTTTCTACTCGAATGCTCCTGGTTGACTGGAACTTATCGATTTGTGGCTCTGCTTTCTGGTGTCAAAATACTCAAAAGTCGTTCGAGAGTTCTGTACTACAAGCACACATGTGTAGAAGTAATACTTAAAGGCCCTTATTTAGGGTAATCCTTCAAGTGGTAGCTCTTCAGCTTGACAAATTGTTCAAAGCCAAATTTACTTAGAGTGACGCCCCTTCCGGAATTTTTCCATCCAGTCCACGCAAGGTCCTATCAATAATTGTGAGCCATGTTCATGTACATCTTCAAAGATCAAAGGTAACTTACAGGGCTTGGATAATCACATCTGTTCACAAAGACAGTTCCAGCCTCTACATCTTCAGCTAATTCGGCTGCTTTTGCCGTGTCTTTTGTCCAAATTGAGGCGGTTAAGCCAAACTCGCTGTCATTCATGAGTTTGATGGCTTCTTCATCATTCTTTACTTTCATCACGGGAATGACTGGACCGAAAGTCTCCTCAGTCATCACAGTCATGCTATGATCGACATTACCAAGCAACGTAGGTTTAACGTAGTTGCCTTCTGAAGGAGGGGACTTGAAGGTATCATTCTCGGGCGTGAGATCCTTGGCGCCCTTATCTAATGCATCCTTGATATGTGCCTCGATCGTTTCCTTTGACCTCTTTGAGACGACGGGGCCGACATGCTGCATGAACAAGTAGTAAGTATTTAGCCAGCGATAATTGTGTGAGAGGTACTTACCGTTTCCTTATTGAAAGGATCACCTAATTTGTAGTTCTTCAAGACATTCTGCAACGCCTCAATGAATTCATCATGGATCTTCTCATCAACATAGATTCTTTCCAAGCTACAGCAACTTTGACCCGAGTTGAAAACAGCTCCATCGACGATCTCCTCAGCTGCCCACGCTACATCAACATCACCTCTTACGTATGCGGGATCTTTGCCACCAAGTTCGAGTCCAACATTCACGATTCTATCTGCGGCTGCCTTAGCTGTAGCCAAACCACCAGCTACAGAACCAGTGAAGCACACGAGAGCTACCTTTGGATCTCTAACAATAGATTCGATAATGAGGGGGGAGCCGCAATGGAAATATTGGATGACATTATCTGGAAGGCCAGCTTCAGAAAAGATGGATGCCATATGTTCAACAATTGTAGGCGTCTGCGGAGATGGCTTGAGAATGACCGAGTTACCAGCGAGAAGAGCAGGTATCAGAGAGTTGACGAGAATAAGATAGGGGTACTGAAAACAACAAGTTAGCCAGAGAAATGAGGGCCCGGAAAACAACACTTACATTCCATGCAAAGAGAATGAGACATGGTCCAACTGGCACCTTTCTGATGAATCTCTTGAATCCTTTCTCTGCCTCTCCATCTGTGTCTTTCAATGCATCTTCACTAATCTTCAAAAGGTATTCGCCCCTCTTCACAGCTGTGGTAACTTCTTTCGCAGTATAGGCAATGGGTCGACCCATCTGTTCCGTTAACTCCTTTGCCAGTTCATCTTGCTTATCGTTCAAGAGCTTAAGAGCTTTCTTTACGATATCTTGACGTTCTTTCAATGAAGTCTTACGATACTTCAAGAATGCTTCAGTGGCAGTGACGGGCAATTGCTGTAAATCTTCCGCAGAGATTCCAGTTCTGGTCAAGACAGGCTTGTTGGTGATGGGAGAAATGGTAGTAATTGTTTCGACGGACATTTTGAAATTTTTGTGTATTCTTAAATGTATAGAATTTCAATACAACAAACAACAATCACAATGACACTCTTCTTATGTTGCAGATTTAATTCTAGTGGGGGTGGTGGGATAAAGAGAGTCAAGCAAAGCTATCAGTGACGCCCACTTACCGGTATCGCTATGCGTCAATATCATGACAGGATGTAACAGGGGTTCCGACAGATTCCAAGCCGCTAAAATTTTAAACTTTTTGTTAATTCACCACCCAAAAAAAATGATAAGTGATCCTGGTCAAAATTTATAATTCTTTACAATCCGAATTTCTCCCAATTCATCAATCAAGCTATTCGAGCGACCAACCAACCAAGCAATAAGTCGATCGATCAATCAACCAGTCAACCGGTCAATCAAAAGAATGGCGACGAGAAAGCACAACGATTTCCTAGATTTGGAAGAGAGTGACGGAGATGAGAGTCAAGGATACAATTCGGAAGCAGAAGATCTCAAGAAGGGTGGCAGAAGTTTAAAGAGGAGAAAGGTTGACGACGATCAAAGCGATGACGAAGATGTTGAACAGAATAGCGATCAGGGAGAGCAAGACTCTAAGGATGATATAATCGAAGAAGCTTCAAAAGAGATCGAATCGAAATCGGAATTGAAAACGAAACCAAAGAATACCTCGAAAGAATTGGAATTACCAGGAATTTCTAGGCCTCTCACGAAGAAAAATCTTGTCGCAAGTGCTGCTGCTATCAAAAAATCCGGCGTTGTCTATCTTTCCAGAATACCACCATTCATGAAACCAACAAAATTAAGATCACTTCTTGAACCATACGGTGACATCAATCGCATATTCATGACACCTGAAGATCCAGCTTCGCACACAAGGCGAGTTCGCAACGGAGGAAATAAGAAACGATCATTTGTGGATGGATGGGTAGAATTTGTGAATAAAGCGGATGCCAAGAAAGTGTGCGAATTACTGAATGCGAATACAATCGGAGGCAAAAAGGGAAACTACTATCATGACGATGTATGGAATCTTCTCTATTTGAAGGGTTTCAAATGGAACAATTTGACGGAACAAATTGCGGCAGAAAATGCGGAAAGAAACAGCAGAATGAGAGCTGAGATTAGCAAGACGACGAAGGAGAATAAGGAATATGTACAAAACGTTGAACGCGCGAAGATACAGGAGGGAATGGAAGCTAAGAAGGCTGCAAAGAAGAGGAAGGATGGTGATGACGCCGATGTCACGAAGGATGAAAACGTGGAGGCAAAGAAGCAGAAGAAGGATGCTAATAGACCAATGCGCTTCAAGCAGAATGCTCCAGCATTGAAGAACAAGACTCAGAGTCAACCAGAACAGGTGAAGAGGGTTTTGAGTAAGATTTTCTAGACTAAACAAATACACCGTGAAGGTAGTATCGCATCTACAAAATTCAACTATCCCCATGTTGGCCTTCTCAATGAACTAAAGAAAATTTCCAATAATTTCAACAGATACATGTTGTGCTCTGTTATCAACCACCCTTCAATCATTTCTTGTGTTGCTGCATCAACAGCTTTTCCAAAAGCATCAAAGTTTCTTCTCAATCCTTCCACATTGATATTCCTCCCCGAAGCTGCAGCATTCTTTTCCAACTTTTCCACTTGTGTTTCGGCCATAGCACGCCAAGTCTCAATAGCTTGAAGATTATCATCCAAACTTTGGACAAGCTCAGCATTGAAGGTAGCCTTCTTTCTCAACTTCTCATATTGTTCCAAATCCATTCGAAATCCAGGAAGATGCATTTCCACATCTCTCCAAATGATTCTCAAGACGCTATGAGCAGTAGGTTGGCTATACAAAGGACTTGCTAGGTGCGTAGTCCATTCATGAATTGTTGCAGCTGCTCGTCTCTCTTGATCTGGTCGATAGCATCTTGGGTCTGTTTTTGCAATGATTCCAGTGCGAACTTGGCGAACTAAAATTTCTCCTTGGTCTTCAAATTCGAGCCAACCGGGGGGAAGTGGACCACGGGTTGGATTCAGTTTTGTTCTTTCATTTGTTGCAATGTTGTAGTAGAATTTCGTCCCATCGCAGCATTGTCTTTGCTCCCACCACTCGGGGTTGGATATAGTTGCTTTGGGCATTGGATGGATTGTAGTTATTATGCTGGTTGTTTTCTTCCTCTCTTCGGAGTGATTGGATGATTGAATCACATTCTAGAGCGGCCATTGCCTGTCTTTTATATCTTGGTCTTCACCAGTTAAATGTCGTTATAGAAATATCTCTATTTCACTCATAGCTTCTCACCGATATTGTACTGACGAAGGAATAATCATAGAGCCAGATATGCTGGCTTTATTGAAATTTCTCTGACCAAATATTTGCCAGTCATAGTTGATATATCCTTGGTTTCACGATTCATTAGTGACTGGCATTCCTTCTCTGGTTTACTGACGCTATCATATATTCTCCTTTTAGATGATAACTGTGCCATTTTTCATCACGTACGTGAATTTCTGATCAGCTACTCATTTATCTCAATACTTTTCCATACACCTCATTGTCACAACATCCCGAAAGCAAACAAATTTCGAAGCAGCAGTAAAATAGATGAGATTATTTTAATATTGATATCCATATACGTAATGATTTAAGTCTACTCTCAGTAACGTTTCAGTCCAGGTGCCCCTCAGCTTCCCAGTTTTAGAAGCAAAATATCCCGTTATCTGCGTACCAGGCCTACATGTTCCCCTGTATATTCCTCCCTAGTTCTCCTCAACATACTCTCATCTTGCAATTTCCCAACAGCTGCACTCAAAGTATTCAACTCCTTCACCAAAAATCCAAGCATGTCTTTCCGCAACTTCTCTCTCATCTTCTCTCCATATTTACACCATGCATAATAATCATCTCTCGCCTTTCTAGCCTCTTTCCTACTCCTCTCTGCTGCTTCCCAAAAGCTTCTGAGATGACCCGTTGGTACCGGAAGTACACATCTGGATTTTAAATACTTCATGAGTTCTTCATCTGCTTTATTAATGCAGTAGAAATATTTCTCGCGCGCTTTTTTGGTGTTTTCTACTGCTTTTTCTATCTCGGTGAAGAGATCTAGGGGAGGTGAAATGGGCGAAAGACGGTGGAATATCGGTACATCATGTCTTGCTTGTTCTCTGGCCCTTTCAAGGTAATTGTGTTGGTAGTATCCGCGGTCTCCCATTTTATTGATTCGGGGTGGTGCTTCTGATTGGGATCGTGTTCCGAGTTCTCTCCTGTGCTGGTTCTGAGAAGATAACTATGCCACAATGATTTTGTATTCATTATATGGTCTTTGTTTGTTTGCATATTCACAGCATTCAGGTACATATGACTGCATTGTGAGATATCATGATGATGTTAAATTCGTGGCTGCTTTTGCAACGGTGTTCGCCAACACATAAGGAATCACTAGTAGTAGTATGGAAGAATGTTGAGGGAGGGGGCTTACAGTGAATTTCAGAAAGTAGAATAAGACTACATCACATAACGAGACTTTTAAGACTTCATAAGGTGTTTCTATCAAGGTTTTAAAATCTATCAATTATTATTTTGGCTTCATGAATCATCGATTCGCTAAAAAGAAAATGCATCATCTACCAGAACTTTCATGCTCGTCTTCCCTTCACTTGGCTGAAGTAACCTCAATCTTTTCTCGCCACTCCTATGTTCATTCTCCATATTCTCTGATAACTCTCTCCTGATCCTGAGCTTTCCTCAGTATATTTCTAAACCGTACTTGTCTCTGATCAACCTTCCTCTGGAACTCCTCAGAATCTCTCTTCATGCCTTTATAATAGTTTTCTACATCTGTCCACCACCTTCTACTATGTAAATCAGATGCTTCCAATTGTCCCTCTAATTTATGGATTTCTTCCTAGAGGTACACAATTCTTCTTTCCAGCTGTTCGTATGTCAGTTGAGGGGCTATTCTTTTTCTGACGATTTGCGGGGGTTTTGGAACTATTTGAGGATTTAGATCATTTTTGTGAGTGATTGCAAGAGAACTTTGAGCTTGGAAATATTCCCATTTTGTCTTCTTTTGTTATGTTGACTCGAGGCTTTTAAGAAGGGGAATGCTATGTTCATAGAAACTTGTTGGTTTTTGACTTGTGAAATATACTGTCGTTCAAAGTTTGCTGGTCCAAGTCATAGTGATCGTAACGGTATCTAATTAACATTGATCTGTCACACATTGGCAGATTATAGTCACTATACAAACCATCCTTACGACTTATTTTTAGAGTTTGTTATGAATCATTCATGGGGTGTATACACAGCAAGTGATAAATTTGCTTTCTCTTTCGTATGCAAGGAGTTTAATAGTTCACTAGTCATTCTATCAATCTGTGGCTAATCTAGTCAAATCATTTATCAAATACTGAATTTCTATTGCATAAGCTACTTTCAGATATTAAGTATCCATTCCACAATCCAAGTCCGGTGATTTGAATTTATGTTACGAATCACTTGTGCGCAAGATCCAGAGTTTAGCTTCCATAATTGATCGATTCGCTAAGAAATTATAAAAATTTCCTACCAGATATCATCCAAAATCTTACTTCTATAATCTCCCACTCAATTATCCCACGCACTTCCTGTTGGCTCAGCAACTTGTTCTTCATTCTTCTCTTCGCCTCCCCAACTTGGGTCCGCTTGGACTTCTTCAACTCCTTCATTCCCAAAGCCCTGATCTCCTTGAGCCTCCGACTCAACTTTTTCTGTTTGATCTCCTTGTCCCCAACTGTTTTCCTGATTTGATTTATCGTCCTTGCTTCCCTGATCCTCTTCTTTCGCCAAATCTTTCCCACTTCCTTGGCCACTCATTCCACTATCAGCCTGTGATCCTTGACTTCCACGAAGTCCCTCCTCCTTTGCCTGAGAACTTTTGGCCCCTATCGTTTGACCCCCGTGGTTTCTCTGTACACCGTAACTGCTTTCACCCTGATTACTGTCTCTGCTAAACTCATTCCTCTGAGCCCCATAACCATTCACATCCTGATTATCATCCCTGCCAACCCCACTACTTTCCAATCCCTCTCTTTCATACCTAGGTGATCCCATCTTATTCCTATAAGTTGCTTCCGTCCGTTCTAAACTCTCTTGTAGATTCGCATAATCCTCTCTCAGGCCCCTGAATAAATTCTCTACGTATTTCCGCCAGGCTGCAAGAGTATCCTTTTCAGACTTCACATAACTAGCTACATTTTTCTTCTCTGCCGAAATTTCCTTTTCTAGTGCAGTGACTTTCCTTCTGAGAAGATCAATTTCGGTTTTCTGTCGAACTTCGACTGGAGTTCGGTTGAATAGTGATGGCATGATTTTGATACTGGATTTTTGCCGAGTCCAAACTCGGTAAATCAAGGTAAGAATAAGCAATTATCTAAACTTGAGAGAAAGTTCCTAGGCTAGATACGATGTTACAATGTTGACCTGGTTACCTTGACACAATATATATTTCAGAATGTACAAAGTTTGCATATCACCCATGTCGCACGGCGAGCGACCATTGTCAAAGTGACTGTTGGTATTATTGAGGTAGAAAACAAGGAGTTTTCAGAATATTCAGAGAGCAAACAATGAGTAATCTTAATAGCATTCCATCATTGGAATGACTAATAATGTTCAGCTGGAGTTGCCCTTACTCATAGGTATATACAAAAGTTGCAATATCTGAATCAGCATTGAACCACAAACTTCCATGACACTTCTTACTGATTTGTGATTGAGGTAAGTTCAATATACTCTGCTTTGATTTCTCGTAGCATTTTTATCATACATCATTCATGCATCACAAGCTGTGGTAGATATTCACACCCTAGGACTGCATTTGTTCCATGTTTAAAAGTCATGTCTCGGATATCATACAATGCCTCAACGTTACCAAAACAGCAACACATAAATTCACATCTACTCTCTCAAGCATCTCCACCCCCCACAACCCTTCCCATATTCAACAAACTTTTCAATCCAACTCTTCCACTCTTTTCTCCTCTCTCACCTCCTCAAACTATCCATCTAAATCATCAGCCCTCCCCTTCTCTACCCTCAACTTCCCTTCCACTTATCATAACCCTCGCTTCTACCTCCTAACCTCTAATCAAGAATACATATCCCCTACACACGCCCTCTCCATCAACAACCAAACACAACATAACATACCACACCATTTCTATCCATGCGCATCAAGAACTCCAAGCAATAATTTCAAAATAATCAATTCTATCAACTAAAGAAGAATCCAGAGAAGTTAAGGAATCCTCGTACAGAGAAGCTCATTAGTCAATCTCCTAAAAATTTCCATAAATATCCTCTTTATACCTACCTATCCCATCTATCCCATTTATCCCACCATTCCCACAAACACAGTACTCAACTTACCACTTAGCACTTCCCACTTCCCACTCCCTGTTTCCCACTTCCCACTTTATATGCTATATTCTATATTCTACACTCTATACTTTATATTCTACACTTTATATTTCATATTCTACACTCTATATTTTATACTCTATACTTTATACTCTATACTTTATACTCTACACTCTATATTTTATATTCTATATTCATCCAGCTATTCAATCATCCCCAACTCCTAAACACCTACCTCCTATTTCCCATATCCCCATTTCCTCACCAACAAATCCCCCCACAGCCCAAGAGTTAACACACATACACACATACACACACACACACACACACACACACACTCACACTCACTCACTCATTCACCAAATCGACTCATCTTCCCAAAGCCACCCAGCACCTTTCCATATCTTTCAAGTTCCAACTACATTTCCACATAGAACCTCCCTCCCCTCACTACTAACCACCCCGCACTAACTCAACACCCCAAAAGCTTCCGAGTCTCGCGACAATAACCATTCCAGAAACCACAACGTTAGCTCAAGATATCCTCTCTTTCCCTCGGGATAATAGGCTAACCATCTCGATTCCATTTGATTACGTTCGTTTTAATAAACACCTACCTAGTGTATGACATCCAAAGACTCTCCCTCCGTAAAAACATCACTAGAATGAGTTTCTCGTAGGCTCTAAAACATTGCTTCCATCCATCCACCCTCTTGATTTTAATTCTTCCTCTCACCACCATGATCTATCTACACAACTCAGACTTCACAATCACACACATCATAAAAAAGTTCTAGACTGAAAAATGTTATTAATTTTATTCAGAGAAAAAATCTCCAAAACCCTAATTACGCCCCATTGCATTCCATTCTGCCCTTCTTGAAATCAACTTTCAAGCTCAAATAAAATCCGGTAATATAATGTAACCAAGTTTTCCTTTCCTTCTTCACTACAACCGTTTCTCACAACCATACAATTCAGAACGCTCCAATGCTTCAAAACCCAATCCAACCCCAATTGATTCCCTCAAATCTTTTCAAACCCTAGTAAGAAAATTATTCAAATCGTCGAAAGAATGACAATAATGACTCCGTTTTATATGCATGTAATTCAAATATAAATCTCTCTCCATTCATTTCCCTCATAGTTGACCAGAAAGAAGTGCTTCAGTTGCTATTTAAAAGTTAGTTGAAAAATCTAAATTAGGAGTAAGTAATAACATACCAGAATTAATATAAGCTCTTCTAGCATCAAGTGAAACACCAAATCTCTTCTCCAACTCCATCTTGATACTCTTTTTCGTAATTGTCATCAAATCAGCTGTTCTGAGAATATCTCTAATCTCTTGTAAGATAGAGTCATCACTTGGCAGACCTGCCAAATTGGACATTTCCATTTCTTGTTGTCCGAAGTATTGACTTCCGCTGAATTGACTAGCACGATTTCCTGGTGTCCCCATTCCCATTTCCGATGGAGCCAATGAGAGACGGGATTGATATGGATTACCATTCTTAGAGTCGATACCATAACCATTATACTGGGACATTGAACGGGATGCTGGAATGGCGTATTCCGAAACATTGGGTTGATACTTAGTACCATAGGAATATCCTGAAATTACAGATCTTCCATCGTCATCTTGTTGAGTTTGAGCTTCCCAAAGCTCAGCTTGATAATCTTCCCATTTTTTGTGTGGAATAGATGCGGGATCAAACACTCCTTCATCAGTGATGACAATCTGTTTACCCGATTCTCCAGTAACAACACGAGTGTTACCCCAAGAGAAATCATCCATATGCCAGAAACTATACAATGGAAGACAAAGGGAGTACACAGGAATGGCAATGATGTAAAGAATCATCCATCCAATCATTTCCCATTTGCGTCGCACGATGAAGATGATTGCTTGCAAACCATAGATGGCAGCAAGTAGAATGAAAGCCGTAATGGGAACAAAACTTGGCGATTCGATAACGAGGACGATGAGATAGACGATATAAGCAACAGTGACCGGTTGAACCAAGGTGGAGATCAAATCAATCATGACAACGAAACGCATACTAAAGCAGCAGAAACCACAAAGTTCGGACATAGGCACGAGTTCCGCAAGGTTGTGTACTGTTGAGTTAATCCAGCGACGACGTTGGGAAAGGAAGACAGCCCAGGAGTCAGGAGCAATAGTCCAAGCGTGAGCGGTACTGATATACTTGGTCTTGTACTTAGCATGGTGCTTCATGAGAAGTGTGGTTAAGTAACGATCTTCTCCCAAATGTAGCAAGTTCTTCATGTGAAGTGTATCGACTCGAATATTGGCATAGGCTTCCACAACTTCACGACTGACGAATAGAGGCTTTCCGGACTCTGCAGCTCGAACACGATACATTGTGAAACAACCTGGCAGACAAGTAACACTACCAAACAGACTTTCGAATGCTTTAGCAAGATTGTGAGAGATGAAGTACTCATAAACTTGAATCATGGTGACGAATGAAGATTTGGAGTTCGTTAATGCTGTCTCTCCACAAACACCGAGTAATTTAGTATCGTCCAAGAATGCTGAAACCATTCGTGAGGCAGAATCCGCTGCAACGACTGTATCGGCATCAATTTGTAACATGAATTCATAAAATGTCGGATTGACACCAATGATATTGCGAATTTGATGATACATTTCAAGCTCGAGAGGGCTCATCGGCGCATTGTAGTGAACACGGTTCAAAAATCGCATCATGACCATTTGAGAATCACGCTTTCCTCTGTTTCCTGGTTTAGAAACTTCAGAAGGCTTGCCAACTTTCACGACGACCAAGAAAGGAACGATATGACCTTGGACCTCGTAAAGACCGGAGTAACATTTGCCCATATTGTGTTGTTTCATTCCTTCTCCCAAAGACTCAAAGCTCAGGGGTTCAGGGTCAACGGTGTCTGATACTCCAAGAATATCCAAAACGATGCGTGGAGTGGGTCTGTCGTTACCTTGACCAATAATCATACCATCACAGATAACAACCAAGAGTTTACGCTTGTCGTCGTACTTCATTCTGGCAATGGAGTCGATAGCACGTCGAAGAGAGTCCTCGTCTTCTGTATAGACAGGCACTTGACAGATGACGAACTTATCTAGATTTTCAGGGATGTTTTTGCCACCGAATTGAAGAGCCGCGAAAAATTTGAAGACGATGACAGAGCTAAGAATGATCGTGATGGCCAAAATCAAGTACTCAGCAAATTGACACTTGATCGAGTTTCTGGTATCAACATCTGCAACATAAAAAAGATTATCGAGACAAATCTTCATTCTAGACCGCATCTCATCAGTAATGGCAAGAGCATTCCAGTATTTCGTGACGTCCTTTCCAGATTTTTGTTGAAACAAGTCCACGACTAAGGGTGACATGAAGTCGACACTAACATTCGAAGATGCAGTTTCGCCCTCAGCAACAATGATTTTACGACCTCCAGAAACATACTTGGTAAGGTCATAGACTTTACCGTCAATGATGCCGATCGAGTCCAATTTCGTAGCAAGCGTTTTAACATATGACGCCGTATAACCAATATGACCCTTATAATAACCGGACTCTTTAAGCATGATCATTTGCTCTATGAACCAATCGGGACGGGAATCATTCTGGAAGGCACGGAAGTCATGATATGCAGCATTGGCATCTGTGCTACTGACTGTAGAGGCGGAACCACTGACATTAGAAGAAGTATAATCAAGTTGCACTGAAGGATCGATGGAGCCTGTGGTTCCTTGACAGAGAGCCGAAACTTGAACCGGAAATAGGCCAGTAGCATCAAGACCAGCGTACTTCAAGATACTCTTTTGGGGTATAATCGACGGGTAATGACGAGTTGAAAAACTTGAAAGATCAAAAACCGTTCCTCTAATGGCAACGTAGGCATCGTCGCTTTTCCCATCGTACGACGTCAACTCAGCTGCG